TCGAGCCCCTCTTCTCCTCCTCTCCAATCGGGGCTAGAATCTGTGCTGATTGAATAAACGTGCAAACTATCCTTTTTACTCATCAACTCCTAAAACGCGCCATTCTGACCGTTGTCTTGGTTTCAACTCTTGGCTCGTTCGTCTCTTCGAGGCATCGGTTGCTTGACTGACATGTCTTAGAAGCACACAATGTGGCCCAAAATGGTGCCAACGGAACTCTCGATTTGTATAGACCCGACAACCCAACACTCCAACTGTAACTTGACCGACACCCTCTTCACATAACCGAAATAATTTACGATTGTGCATACCCATGTATGTGTGTACGTGGAGGTGTGTCTGGAGATGTCAACCAGTATGTTGGTATGTTTGCTTTAAACTGATTTATTTGGCACTATTTATACTAGTTGTGTGTGTGTGTGTGTGTATGTGTGTATATATGTGTTTTTTTGTAGGTGTGTGTAGGTGTGATTTTCAAGCCGCCATAATTATATGCAATTTATAGCATTATGACCTACCGCATGGTAATGGGGACTAGTAATTAAGGCAGAGATGCATGAATCTGTAAAGTCGGCTGTACAGATGATTTACTAATGAGTGCAGATGACGAACGGAGTGAAGTGAAGTCATGTTGAGGCCGAGGGCTGGAGGGAAATACATCATTTGGCTATTTTTCTGGTGTTAAAGCTGTCCGGAGGCATCGCTGAGGCAGCTCGTCTGTCTCAACCCCCATCGCCGAGATGACCAAATTCACACTCTTGTTGAGGGCAAGTCGTCGACTCACCGTCCTGCCCACCCGAAGAACCTGTGCTGAGCTTTCGTGTGTGCCGCCATGACACACTTCGTGAGAGCATATATTTTTTGCATAACTTCGTGATGATGTCACGGCGGTTCGGATAAAAGTTCAGCACAAGTTCTTCAGGTTCAAGGACTTCTTGGTACAGTCTAACAGTCCTCCTTCGGCTTCCGGAGAGACCATTTCACAACTTTCTTCTAACCAACTTTTCCTTCGAAATGCAGTTTCAAGTTGCAATAAATCCGGAAAAAATATTTTTAGAAACCGCCTTTTTCTCTAAAGATTCACCCTCTCTCTTGGCCCATTCGACATCCCATGAGGTGGCTCTTCTGAAGTGACCCGCAACCAGGCTTGCCAGCCAATGGGCGCGCGAATAGGAGACCCGCTGAGTGGCTGGCTGGAGGACTGGGGGCTTGTGAGGCTTCTGATTGGACGGCAGACAATCGACTCAAGCGCGGGTGATACAAGAGAGAGGATCGGAGCGGCGCGTCGTGTTCGAGCCCCTTCACTTCTCCTCCGGACTGAAAGGAGGCCTGGCCTTGTCCGGCAAGGGCCTCGGGCCTCGAGCCATCGGGAGTCGAGCCGAACAATTCGAGCCGAGGAACTAGGCCCGTTGGGATGAGAGCAAAGGGGTTCAAGTTAAGGAGACTAAGGGACTCGAGTTTGGGAAATGGTGCAGAAAGATTGCGGCTGATTGACCAAATGACGAAAGACTCGAGTAGCAAATCTCGAGAGGGGGAGCTCTCAAAGAGCTTGGAAGAATCGGTTTGT